ACATTGATTTGTTCTTTTGTCGCACTCTCTTGCTCGTTACATGCAACAATAATTTTTTCAGGCTCTTCTGCTTTCTGGACTGGTTGGTCAAAATTTTGTATTGACATTGAATCTTCAATTTTTTGAACCGATTGTTCAACCTTTAGAATGGCGTTTTCAACTTTTAGATAAGAATTTTCAACTTTTTGTACCATTTTCTCTACCTTCTGCACCACCTCTTCAACCTCTTCAACATTCTCTGCTTCATTAAGTTTCAGCACATCTTCTACATTTGGTACTGGCTCATCAATAATTGTAGTTACATTTTCAAGTTTTTGTACTTCTTCAACATTTTGAACTTTTTCAAATTTTTGTATTTCAACTGTTTTTTCTTCAATTTTTTGTACTTCTCCAACTTTTTCAACAACTTTAACGTTATTTACTTTATCAACTTTTTCAACCACTTCGGTTTTTTGAACATGTTCTATCTCTTTTTGTAATTCATCAACTTTATCAACTACTTCAACTTTTTCAAACACATCATCTTTTTGTGCTTGTTCTTTTTGTACTTCTTCATCCTTTTGTACATCTTCGGCTTTTTGTACTTCTTCCATTTTTTGAGTTACAACTATATGTACATCTTCAACTTTTTGTTCTTCTTCCACTTTTTGTACATCTTCAACTTTTTGTATTTCTTCAGTTTTTTGTACTTCAACTTTGTGTACATCTTCAACTTTTTGTACTTCTTCCACTTTTTGTACATCTTCAACTTTTTGTTCTTCTTCCACTTTTTGTACATCTTCAACTTTTTGTGTTTCTTCCATTTTTTGTACATCTTTAACTTTGTGTACATCTTCTACTTTACATACATCTTCAACTTTTTGTACTTTCCCAATTTTTTGTACTTCTTCGACTTTTTGTACTTCTTCAACTTTTTGTACTTTCCCAATTTTTTGTATTTCTTCAATTTTTTGTACATCTTCAACTTTTTGTAACATTTCAGCGTTGTGTACTTCAACTTTTTGTACTTCAACTTTGTGTACATCTTCAACTTTTTGTATTTTTTCCACTTGGTCTACATCGTTAACTTTTTGTACTTCTTCAACTTTTTGTACTTCTTCAACTTTGTATACGTCTTCAACTTTTTGTACTTTTTCAACTTTTTCTTTTAGTTCAACTTTCTGCATTTCTTTCAAATTTTCTACCGGTTGTTTAACTGTTTCAACTTTTTCAACTTTTTTAATTTTTTTCACTTCTTCAACTTCTTGCCCTTTTTCAACGTTTTGTACTTCTTCAACTTTTTCTCTTGGTTGTTTATTTTTCTGCGCTTCTTCCAAATTTTCTAATGGTTGTTGAACTGTTTCCATTATTTCAATATTTGGTTCGGGCTTTTCAATTTTTTGTACTTTTTGTCTTGATAGTTCAAAATTTTGTGTCACTTTTGATGTTTCACCAGTGGCTTCAAGTTCACTAACTTTTTCAACAGTTGTTTGTTCATTAATTAGTTCTATTGCGTCGCTAAACATTTCTTTTGTGACATCTGCAGTTTCGCTACAACAAACATTTGAATCGGGAGGAGCGTTCGATTTCAAAACTGTTGTAACCTCACTGACCGGCTCTAACTGATCTACATAAGTTGAAACAGGAACATGCACATCACCAATCTCAGCAGTCTTATCAACAACATTCGCCTCCACACACTCGCCGCTTGCAGTGGCAGCTTTACAAGGTGCTTCATCGACGATCTCCACCATTTTTAGATCCACAAATTTTTGGTCCTTATTCATTTTTTTTAAAAAGGTTGTTGTTAAATCCACTTTCGTTTTTTCGACAACTGTTGCCAGTTCTGTCGGCTCGGTAATTTCAATTTTTTTCTGATATAAACACTCTTTAACATTTTCCACAGTTCTACCAGCCGGTTGGTCAATGTTTAAACTGCCATCCTTCTCAAGGACTGTCACTGGTTTTTCAACGACAGTTGTTTCATATTGAACGACCCCATCTTTCACGTTTGTTAGTTGTCCTCCGTCAGTTTTAATTTGTTCCACAATTGAAGTTACTTCACCAGCTGCTCCAGCAATTTTTTCAATCCGTTGTTTTGTCACTTCAACAATATTTCTTTCAGCGTAACTTTTTTGTATCTCAACATCAATTGTTTCATCTACTTCATCCAGGAGGTTATCCGCAACCTCTCCATTTATATTTTCGGTTCCTTTAATTTTTGTAGCAGTTGGTTTAACAGCTTCGACAGCTTTAAAAGTTACTTCATCAACGTCAATCGTCTCAACTGTTTTCGTTTTTTCAGCAGCTTGTGTCACAGCGACAACGTTTCCATCAACAGGTTCTACCATTTCATCATCATGCGGTTTTGTTAATTCAACAATCATTTCTGTCGTTTCCACATGTTTTTCTGTTTCTGTCACATTTGGTACTTTTTCAACAATTTCATCAACATCCTTCCACAAAGTTTTTGTTGTTTCTAAATTTTCAACGCAGATTGTTGTAGTCTCAACTACGGGTTCACTTATTTCACCAATTACAGTTTCACTTTTTTTCGTCTGATAAATTTCAACAATTTTTTCAGTCAAATCGACGTCTATTTTTGTTTCCAGCTTGGTGTCTTCTTTCTTCTCCTCAACAGACTGTGGCCCGGCAATTAGATATTTCATTATATCTTCAGGTAAACTTGATGGCATGGTGCCTTCAACCTTTCCATCAACAAAACTTCTTTGGACAAGGCGTTCATTAACAGCATTTGTAAAACTAACATCTACCCCAGTCGTTATTTTCTGGTCTTCAATCTTTGATGGTCTTTTAAAAACAACCGTTCTAATAATTTTCTTCTTTAGCCACGTATTATCAGGCAACAATTCACAATGTTCTTCGACGCTGGTGCTTTTTTCAACGTTATCTTGTTGTTGCAAGTATCTTTCGACATCACTATTATTGCACCCAGGATTCAACCCTGCTTGAAACTCCACAATATTTTCCTCAACCAAAGTACCCACTTCAACTTCCTTCACAACTCTCTCAACTTTTTCATCACCCTTCCCAACGACTTCCACCAAAGGTTGTAAACATTTTTTGGTGAGCGTTTTGTTTTTCACCACAACTCCATCTTCACGCATGTCCATGTGCTCCTTTACGTCGAATATTTCCGTGAATTCTTTGTCGGATGGAGCAGTTGGGTAAAATTGTTGTTGATGAAAATATTGCAGTTGTTGTGGTGGCTGATGTGAGTGTTGTTGTGGCTGTTGTTCTGGTTGTTGCGGTGGTTGTTGCTGAAGATGAAACGATTTTTTGTGCTGCATAATTTCTTGTACCTCTTGTTTCGATTGCGATTGCATTGTTTTTATTTCCTCTTGTTCTAGAATATTATCTTGCTGTGGAAGTTTTTGTTGCTGAATGGTTTGTTGCGTTTCTTCTACTGCGTCTGAATTTTTTTTATTCAAGTTAGTTCTGATAATTTTTTTCTTCAGCCAGAGACCAGTGGGAAGAGTTTTTTGCAACTCGCACGTTGAAATGATCCTTTCGACATTTTCTTCCGGCTCGTTCAAGACATCTGAAGAGGTTTCAGTTATTTCTTCAACAACCCTCGTTCCAACTTTTTTGAATTCATTCCCCTTCTTGATCATATGATCCTGGCTGGTAATTTTGAAATGAATTCTTGTGCCATTCTGTAGAATTTCTTCGCGTTCATCAACTTTTACCTCCGATGACTGAGATGTTTCATCAAGTTTTTGTTCGTTGGATATTTGTGGTAGCACTTGTTCCTGGTTGCAGGGCTCGGCCATCAAAAGAGATTTATTAATAACTTGTTTTATGCTATCGTCGACAGAGGTCACTTCGACATCTTCTTCATCTTCTTCAATTTTTTTTCTACTCAGCTTTACGTTTGTCACCTTCCTTTTCAACCACTTCCCGTCCGTTAGAACTTCAAAAAACTCTTCCGATGCAGACTTCCTCACCACTCCAACTTCATTTTCACCTTTTATTCCTTCTTCAATTTCTTCTATATGCTCTTCGACTTCCGTTCCTACAATGACGTCACTGATGACCTCATCTGCCATGTCAATGGAAGATGCTCTGCTTATTTTTTGTTTATGTTGTCTCGTGAGTATTTTGTACTTAAGAAGACCTCCATCAACACCTTCCTCTTCTCGCTCATCAACTCTTGGATTGTCAGTGTAAGAGGTAATAACCAGGGGTCCCAAGTTTGGATCGTTGATCCGTTGAGTGGCTGTAATTGTGATTGCTGCCGAAGATGTTGGTGTTGAGGGCTGTTTGGAAAAAACTTCAATCACCTCCTGCTTCTTGTTCCTCGGTTTTGGTGCTGGTACGGGCGGTTGAAATGTTTGTTGTTTCAGTACTTGCTGCCCCTCGGCATCTTTTTCATTTCCCAAGTACATCTCCGATGTTTGTGAGGATGTTTCGGATGACTCGGACAGTTTTTCTTCCCTTTCTCCAGCATCTTCCGATGCACTTTCAAG